TTTGCCTCTTTCCCTCCATATAGGGTGAAAAAGAGATCTGTTTGACTAGTGTTTGAAGATACGATGCATTTTCGAAGAATCCGAGTTTTCCGATACATCCAGATATGTCTTCAGAACATTTGGTACTAATGTCGCAAGAGCCAAAAATGACTCTAGGAAGCTGCATGCGCGTGGCGCATTTGAGTCACAACACGCCTGAAGTCTGGCTGTGTGACGTGTGTGACAACCGCGTTCTGGTGTCACACTGGAGGTCGCCTTTCCGCTCTCCAATGCACTAAAGACTGCACAGCTTCTCTCAGACTTCATATATAGCATTCTTGATATGGTTCCCTTCCCTTGCAGATATTTGGGTGTACTGAAGCATAATATCTCTGCCTACAGCCATAACAAGAAGTGTACCATCCCGAGTCATACATGCTAATTGGTTAAGTCTGCCTCAAGTCAGCTGAATAAAATAATTATACACCTTTCATGATGTATATGGGATCTCACAAGGTAATCTGTTGAGCATTGCAAGCACAATCAATGGGTGGTTGAGCATGGGAATTGAGGGAATAGGAAAGCTATGATGTACATCCTTATGTATAAGGGGAAAAAATTCCATTACACATCCTCTGTATCCCAAAGACCCATTATATCATCCTACAAGAGATTCTAATCACTCTCCGATGTCATTACACGGCGAGTTGGGTCAAGGTACCTGCCGAAGACGAAATTTGGCGCGCGTCACATGTCACAGGACCTCCCCGACCGTGAGACCTTCCATATCAGGTATCCGGAGCTTGCCTGCGGCGCCACTTCGCACCATATATAGCAACTTGACGAATCAACAAACCGAGACGAATCCATAAAACGTGTCACATATCACACCGCCTGCCGAATTGATCGAAATGGTACAGTAGTAAAGCAGCATTAAGATGACTCCGACTATCTGAGGATTCTGAGCAAGCAAGCGCTGCAGAGCGGCGACTGAGTGCGCAGAGGAGCCAATGTGGCTGAAATTATTTGGTGATGTGTACGTGTTGTTTGCCCATGTGTACGTGTCTTGGCGCGGCAAGCGACGGCGGTGGCTCAGCGCAACCTCAACCTCAACCTGCATCAGCGACGGCCTCCGACAACGCAGACGCCTGCGCAAGACCCCGTCCAGTGCCTCTCCGATGGTCCTCATCGCTCCAGACCCCTTTTCATGCGATCCGCACCCTTCTCGCCGTCGTCCTTGTTCCTGCTACTAGCCACATCACTTCCTAACCCGAAGTGAATTCTAACCCTAAGTGTCCATAGGTTGCTACGTGTCCGATTCTGCTCAAGAGGAGTTGATTGTCTTGCAGCGCGGTGGTCTGAGCAACGGCCATCGTTCGTGCTGAGAGTCTCGTGGCCGAGATGATGCCTACCTCGCCAAGGTGTTTGTCAGGTGTATCGGTGCGCATCCGTCGTTCTGGCTTCCATGTTCTTTTCGCTTGCGATGACCTCGATGGCTGCATCTACTATCGCATCTCCGGAACGTGCCAAAGGCCAGATCCAGGATAATCGCCGATCCGTCGTCCACGCACAAGCTCCTGTCCGTGTTGCCTACGGGATCCTGGATCCTGACTGAGGTCGGGAGAAGGAAGGCGACACCGGGATGACACGGAGCCCTTGACTAAGGATCGGTGATGGTCCTCTGGTCTATGGTACTAGAGAAGCGTCGCGGGACTTTAGGTGCAGTTGTTGGGCGAGCGAGCTCCGCACAGACCGGGAGCCAGGTGTTACGAGGAAGTGGCGTCGACTGGGATACGCACAGGCCCATGAGGCCCCGTTCGCCCAGCGTTGCTCATACTTCCTGGCGGACATTTCGAGGTGTATTCATCTGGTCTTATTCTCTCACACCTAAACGCTCTTTTTAAACATCACTCCTCCCTCCCCTCGGGAGGCAAAATGAGCTTTACGAACAGGACATTGGCAGCCTGAGTCTCTTGACTCATTTCCCTGAGCGATTGATGCTCAAACCCCGGCGAAGTTTGAGTAGATTCCCATCGCCGCGGGCTCTTCCTTCTTTTCCTGCCGCATGCCGCACATCGGGCTGCAGTGCGGGGGAGTTGGATGGGTAGCCCGGAAGCGCCGGCGCGCGCGTGCGAGATTTACATGGCTACGTGGAGACTTGGACGACGGAGCCCGGGTTGGAGATGTGGACGCATGATCTAAAAGGTACGCACAGGAGAGAGCTGGGCTGGGTTATGCCAGCGACTTCGGGAGGTCTTTCCAGGCGCAAGTGCAACGCAGGTAGGTATCTATAGCAGCCACCCGATAGCGCTCACTGATGATTATCCCGTAGGTATTCAAGACTCGCTATACCAGTTGATGCCTATCCGCCCCCAACTTCTGCCCTTCCATTACAGGAAGGCGGACTGCGAATAACCGCTGTGCGTTAGTAAGCAATCCTCATCTACTCTCGAGAACTCCTGATACTTCATCTGGCTTCGTGGCATGGTACGTTGAGCTTGCGTCCGCGCCAATCTTGGACCTCTGTCCTTCCTAGCTTGCGTACTCGACTTCTGCTCGTTTGCTTCAGCCGAACAGGGCCCCAAAGACCCGGTTCATTCGTTTATTTGCTTTTTCACGTCTCGTCTCCTCTTTCGTACCAGCAGCCTCAGCAGCTACCTTTTCGCCCGAGATGTGTCCACGGAGTGTTCGTGGATCAGGATGTTTCGCTTCACAAACACGCCTACAGTTTGATGGGCCGAAGAAGGGCAGTTTACTCGCTTTGTACTGCATACCTCTCGCTGCGCGGTGTAGTTGTGGTTCCTTCGGGACGATCAACAGAGCCATGGCTCGAGTGCACTTGTGGCGCAGAGTGTTAAGCGGCGGGTGGGGGCTGCCTGGTCCTCGGGCTTGGGTGGAGGCATGTCACCTTCGGAGAGCACTCTGGCGTGATGCGGAACGGGGGAATCGGGAGGCTGTCGGTATTACCCACGGAGGCAGGCGTGGAGGGCGGTAGGCGGGTTGTCGGCGAGAGGTGGGCTGTTGCGTGAGTCGAAGCGGGCTCGCTATAAAGCAGGGTGACACGTTCAGGCGACGTCAATGCTTCTACTAATGTCGCGATGCCGCGAAGGATGAAAGTAGACGACGGATCTCCTCGTCGGTGGGTGGTGTGAAAACTCTGTGTTGACTAAACCAGGGGAAGTAGCAGTGGAGCAGGGGTTGCCCAACACATGCAGATTGTCGTGTTCGCCGCTCAGCGGTGGGCTGTTATCGTAGCGGGGGTGGCCGTAGAGGCCTCGAGAGTGGGTAGGCGGTGTTGGCTGGTGTGCGCGGCTTGATCAAGTGGTGGCGAGGGCGGTCTCCGTCCGAGCCATTACTTGAACTCAATTTTTTCCACTTTATCTCGCCTTCGGGCAGATTTTTTCCGTTTATTTTCCCGTGCACTTTGAGGACTGCAGTGTTTTCAATGAAGTGCTCGCAGTGTACGGGAACACGACTCGAGAATACAAGGTAAATGCGCGGGTTGATTGTATCGCGCTAATCGAGCAAAGACAATTACATATTCAAGTCCACTTCACATGCAATTCTAGGTCATTACGGCGCCCGAGACCACCATACCGACTGCGGAGCCTTGATCTCCTTCTCTACCTCAGGAATTGCCGGGACGCTTCTGTCGCATTCGAATGCCTTGCGGCGTTCTTCCCGCATCTCTTCTTGAATTTCGCTTTCGGCTGTCGACCGCTTCTCCGGACTTGCAGGTGTCAAGACGAATGTGAACGGGCCACCGTATGGCAGCAGAAGCGTCGCCCCTTTCGTGGACGGGATACTCATTGTGCTCGCTTCGGGAGTCGACTGTCTGTTTGCCTCCATGTCCTTTGCGTTCACAACAGGGCGGGACTTAACGTAACCAACGACGAAGTAGGCCGTGCAGCAACAACCGGAGATTATGATGAAGATGAGGAAGCATGACGCGGCGATGAAGGCTGCGACGTTATCAATAACATGGAACGTTCCAGGACTACGACTGGAGAGACCTACCAGGGACGGAGCCACCCTCGGTAAGGTTAGGCATTGTGGCTTAGGGAGTGGTTTAAAGAGCGTGGTTGTAAAAGAGCGTAAGGGAAGGACCGAGGGAATTTGCTAAGTCTGCGCGATGATGGAGCGAGGACCAGGACGTGCAGAAGTGCAAAGGTGTATATATACAAACTGCTAGCGGCTGACATTAGCTAACCCTTGATGCTTATCCTGTCAGCCGGCGGTCTAATCTAGCATTCATGAAGGCATTCCTTTGACAATCGCGGTAAACGCTATCTGTGAATCACATCGTGTTCTCCGGCCGCTCTCCCTCTCATGCAGAATCATAGTCAATGAAATCCTTCTCAACAATTGACCCACGACCCACAGTTCACTACGGGCATGCGACGATCACGGTGAATGTATAGTACATGTCGGTCGGGATCCAAATCGTACTGAACCCCCTTCAGATGGCAGTCTGGTCCGTCACGTTCGCCTCCATCCAGAATTTACATCTCTCGATCTCAGCGGACGGATACACCTCCATCGCACTGGCGGTGCCGTTGAGCGACGTTCCTTCCGTCAGCACCATGCGGTAGTTTTGTCCACCGCTCGAGAAGTAGGTCCAATCAGGCGAGTAGGATGTCTTGCTTGTCGAGGGATTGCCCGATGATCCGAAAGACGTCCAATAGGCGATGGCTTGGGCCGAGAGGAGTTTTTCGGTCTGGGAAAGGAAGGGTCAGTACACACGTGAGATAATATCATTGGATTTTACACTGTTGAAGGGAGTGAAACTGGCGCCAGCATTGGCTGTGGGGCTGCAAAGGAGCTTGAGTGTCTTCCCCTGCAACTGAGTTTACCCCGGCTTACTTAGTGCCTGTTTGTATCGGCCAGAGGATCAGCCTTGGACTTCTATTGAGAGATCCTTTTGACTCACCATCGAAGAGGTAGTATATATCTGACGTGTGCATGACGCCTTGGTAAGGTGCGGCGGCATACAAGACAGCGTCAGGAGTATTCCACCTATCAAGGTCTCCGTCAGGACCCTCCGCACTAGACCAAGTGGAGATGGAAGCCATCCACCTGAATGCGAATACGTTCTGGACTCCCTTGGAGATCATAGCAGTTTCCGTGTACCAGTCACTTGGGGAGGTGAGACGGCGTGCTTCACTTCCCCAATGGCGACTCACAAGCAGCCAAAGATGATCTCTTGCGCCATTGTCCATGCACGGTCGTATTGGGTTGCAAAGGGACTACCAGGAACGTCAGGTGATGGGTAAAGTTGCAAAGCTTGCTGGATTGTTTCGTTATTCTTGCCATATGTCGGTCAGCCAGTGCGGCCAACGACACCAAGTATAGATCTAGACTCACCACACCCGGCCACCTGGCGAAGACAAGCCTCGCTAGATCCGCATCGGTGACGAACTGGCTCGGCGTGCCGCCGACGAACGTCCTACCATCATTCGAGCAATGACCACCTATGAATTCCACGGGGGTAAAGTTCCCTGATGCGACCAAACGCGAGGGAAGTTCAGGTATAAATGAGCCATCCACCACTGGGGCCACGCGACCAGTCTGGACGTGGTTGACAGCAGCGACTATTGCGCCGATTGAAGCGGAGCGCAGGCAAGTCATTGCCTCTGGTCCGGAAGAGGGACATCCGGCTACCCGCGTGACGTTCTCTGTCTCATATTAAGCGTAGCGCAGATATCACAGGTTCGTGGCACGTACGAAATAACACCTCCTGGAGCGAGGCATTTGCTGTGTATCCATAACCAATGGACTGGGCTATGGCGCGTTTGAACGGGGCACCCCGGGTTCCTTCAACAAATGGCAGTCAGTAAGCGCCCAACGTCCTGGGTTTGCATAAGCTGGGTTACCTCCGTAAGCAGTGATCTGCATAATAACGCTGGCGCCGCCAGCACTCTCGCCGGAGATGGTGATCTCATCGGGGTCACCTCCGAATTGACTGATATGCCTCTGCACCCACTCGATAGCCGCGCGCTGGTCTAGCAAACCAGCGTTGGCGTCTCCATTGGCTGAGACTTCGTTCCCGGATAAGAACCCCAGTACGTTGAGTCGGTAACCCATCGATACACCGATTATGCCCGTCGGGTGTTCCGCGACCCAGTCATATAGTGGGAAGCCTTGCGTGGTCTATACACGTTCAAGCACCATCACTACCGTTGTGGATTTCGACTTACTCCGGCATAGAACCCTCCTCCCTGCCAAAGAGAGTGAGTAGATATCATAAACCATCATGCAACAGCGTACGTAAATGTATACCACCACAGGTAGATTCGCGCCGGCAGCCGCGTTAGTGGGCTTCCATACGTTGAGAAGTAGACAATCTGCGATAGATCAATCTTCCATGCGCCCATTTTGCGTCTATGAAGTTCTGTACCTTCTGAGCCAGCTCCCACTGCCGCAGGTTGCTGTATGCATGCAGGGCCCCAGTTCCTGGCGTCCGTAACTGGAACATATCCACCGTTCTTCGTATTCTCATCCAGAGGCTGAGGGGCTCTGAATCGCAGATTGCCTAGAGGTGGCTGAGCGTAAGGTATGCCCCCGAAGAACGTGACTGGTCCGTCAGCTATCCCAGTCGGCGTCGTGCTATTCCCCGCGTAAGCAGCATAACCAAGGTTCACAACGGGCCCCAGAGGCGAGGCCAGTTGAGGTAGCTCTGATGTCTGTCCCGAGGCCACCGGGAGAACGCCCAACGCGGCAGTAAGGATCAGAGCACGCAGATAGCGCATCATCTTCAAGATACACCAAAGGGCCTTAGTTCAGGCCCGTGCGAGTGCTCCCATAGCTTTCCAGTACTTATACCGACGAACTGCGGGATCGGAAACATGTTTCAGTGGAATGACGTCCAGAGAGCACATCACAAGGGCCTGTTTATTCTTGACCGGCAGTATCGGCGGTCCGTCTACAGGCACTTCGCACTTCGTGGTGAGAGGAAGAAGGAACTATGCATCACGTGCGGGTATCTTCAGAGGATCACCGAAAAAGGCAAGGGGCTTTCCTAATCCGGTCATTGGCAGGAGGTGCTACAAGCAATGAACAGGGTATGAGAGATACAGATTGAAAAGTATCTCCCAAATTCCAAAAAGTAGATCAAGAGAAGATCAGTATCAGTAAGCTCGCGGCAAGAATATAGGTCAGTTCCGGATACAGCCGTGTACCTACGCTCCGGGAGGAAGCTGTAGGGCCGTTACTAGCAGACGCAGAGGTGCCACTGTAACTATATGTTGGTATTGTGGGATACAGTGTGGAAGCAGCGTGTGCAGGTAGCGTGGACGTGATGACCGGCGAGGTAGGTGCCGGCGACGAAGAAACGTTAGACGTGCCGTTCACGACGTCGAAATAGAACGCCTGTCTCGCATCAGCTGCAAGTCGTCAATCCCAAGCTAAGAGATGGTTTAAAACTCACCGCATATATACTTTCTGGCCCCTGAAATGTGGACTGGTAACATAAGGCACATCAACGGGGTTTGACTGGAAGAAGGGAAGTAGAATATGACGCACGTCAAGGAAACTTGCAAGGTTGAACGCATATGCACTGCTTTCCGGAGGTGTATGATACTGGAAGTCGGGACTCTGCTTCAACAATAGCACTACAGATCTGCGGGCATGGTTACATATGGCCCTCGTCCCAGCAGCAAGAGCATGCAATGGGCTTACCGGTACTGGAACGGCTTCCAAGGCACAGCGGTCATAGCATTGGCAAAGGAGAGCTGCCATGGATCTTGGCTCGAACAATTAGGAGAGCAGCCTAGAAGTTTTATGCCATCAGTCTTCCCTTCAAGTTGTCTTAACGCCGAGATTAGGAAGATGAAATCACCGTCAGCGCCAGCTACCACGGCATCATAGACGTTCCACGACAGCACTTCCCCGTCGAACTGGGTGAAGTTGAACCCAGAGAAGCCGACATTGTCCATGATGACCATGGCCTTTGCCTCAGTCGCCCAGGACAACGCGCTGGCGTTGCGGAAGGAGATATTGATACTAGGCACTTGCGCGACTTCTGCGGATGCAATGAGATAGGTAAGGACTGCAAATAACATATGGCGGAGGTGAAAACGCACGGTCAAGAGTTAATTGCTGTCCTGGACTGATTTGCCCAACATCGGGGAACGACACGTTGAGGTAGGCGATAGGATCTATAGTCGAGAGCAGCGGGGGTATTATACCCGCCTGCTTGAGGTGCGCCTGGATCGCCTCAATCTGGAGGTCAGCATAGGTATAATTGTCTTGGGCTGACGCCAGCCAGAGCTGAATAGTGATAATGAGAACGACAGCGAAAGGGTGTAGCATCGTGCAGTACAGCGCGAGGTCTAGTGATTGGAGGAGGCAGTAATATATAAGTGTGCTGCATCACGATCAGACTCGGAGACAGTACTACTAATACCTGGCGTCATCCTTCAATCATCCTTCCCCACTTATCAAACCGCAGTGAGAACAGCGGCCAATTAAATCACCGGGAGCTTAACGTCAAGATCGAGTGTTGTGGAGTCGGTGCTATTAATAGGCAAAGAACTGACCGGACAGCAGGTAATCAAGCCGAAGTCAAACCAACCGTCCGCATTGTCCATGGAATAATCGAATACATGCGTTTGGACTTCACAGGAACCCAGCGAGCCACCCCGCACCAACCACTCCGGCCGGTAGTCCCATCAACACCCTGCTTATCTCAAGCACCTACGACAGATCGTGCAATCAGCATGCAGCCCGTTGAGCGAAAGTACATAGCTAGAAACACATTACTAACTCACCCCGACTGCGCCGCCTGTCCCGCTGCCACTGCTACCCCCACTGCCACCACCACTCTGCGTCGGCTGAGCAGACCCAAACGACCCGGAGCTAGGACTCGATAGCCACGTCGAGTACGTCGGGGAGAGGGTGCTCGCAGCGTGTGCGGGAAGAGTGGACGTGATCACGGAGGACGTGGGGGCGGCAGAGGCCGTTGCGGTGCCGTTTTGCAGATCGAAGTTGAATGCCTAGGGAATAGTCATTGGCCATCTGTATCGTGGATAACGGTGGTGCACCTACAGCGTAGAGATCGCTCGGCGTGAGGTGTGTATCCTGTGAAGAGAAAGGAGTTAGATGTGTGGGTGGGGATAACAGGGAGTGCTACATTGAGGAAGCTCGCGAGGGTAAAGTCCACAGGATTGGAGATATGGGTGATCAGAGGTTTGAAATTCTCGTTTTGTCGGAACAGCAGCAGCGCGTAACTGGAAGACATGCAGCTCAGTGGCGGGCTAAAATTAGGTACAATGTGTATACCGGTGAGATCCATTGCCAAAGACCGCTATCGGATCGTAGTCCGTCACGGTCGTGCCGCCCGCTGTGTTCAGGATGGCGGGGTCTGACGAATTGCACTGCGAGCATCCTAGCAACGTGTACACGAATGAGCGACAAGTCTTGGCCAGTATGAGTACATGCTCACCGTCAGCGCCTGGGGTTAGAACCGCGTTGTAGACGAGCCACGTCCGCGTCTGCCCGAGGCTGAAGTTGAATCCCGGCCAACCGACGTCTTCGAGTATCACGGTCGTGTTGGTGTTGTTGAAGGCGGCGAGCGCGCTCTCGTTGGCGAAGGTCACCGCAATACTAGGGAGTTGCCGAACCTCTACACACAAAAGCACGGCAAGCCGTCATACGAGTTAACAATCATATCGGTTGAGAGGAGCAAGGAGACGTAGTACGGTCGAGACTCAGGACCTGTCCCGGGCTGACAGACCCAACTCCAGGAAAAGAGACATTGATCCAGGCAAGGGGGTTGAGGCTGGGAAGCAGGGGCGGGATAATCCCCGCCTGCTGGAAGTGAGCTTGGATGGCTTCGATCTGGAGATCATTGTACGAGTAGTTCTGCTGGGCTGCAGCAAGGAGCAAAACAGCCTGGGAGAACAACAGGAGTCCTGGTGTCAGTGGATTTTGCATCATTGTGTTTGTTCTTGGGATAAATGTGTGGCCTGTAAATGCCGCTCTTATACATGATACAAGGTTTGATGAAATTGGACGATGGTGGAAACACAGGATCAGGTGCAAGACTCGGACTAGCTAAACTGCATCACTCTACTCCAGCATCGTCAAAGAACGATGACGTCACTGAAGTCGTGAGGCAGCTCAACGTTGCATTTCCCTGAGACGGAGACTGATGCTCCACAACGTTGTCGGCCCCGATCCGGATCTGGAGAAGCACCCCGGCAACTTACTTTTGATGGCCGGAGATCGCGATGCGCGCCTCGTCGATCGCGTCTGTCCCGCTCGCCACGGTCTGCGGCTGGCCCGGACGGTGCGGGACGGCTGGTCAGCCACACCCGCGACGTGCAAGTCAGCCGTGGCTCGAGGAACATAAAATGGACGCGTCTTTGCCTCTGACCGACAAGGAACTTTCATAGTCGCCTTCTGCTGCATTCTGCGCACCCAGCTTTCACGAGGATTAGCCTTACCAGCTACCCACCACCCATACACACCCATACACACACACACTAAACATGTCTACCTTTATGCAGTGCCCCCACCCCAACTGCGACCGCTGCCTGTCGATGCCCAAGATGATCCAGGCCGGTCCCCAGAATGCCCGCCCCGCGCCCACCCCCAAGGCCCCCTCCGTCTTCAAGAGCCTCTTCAAGCGCGAGAGGAAGGAGAAAGCCCCTGTGGAGGACGACGACGGGATTATTGACGCTAAGTACGATTTCTCTTTGGATTTCGAGTGCCAGGGCGACCTCGCGGAGGTCGTCAATGTCCGTGCGGTGTTCACCGTTCAGGGCGGCGAGAAGTTTGTGTGCAGAAGAAACGCGATTCGAAGGGCACAGGCGGTGGCGATCTGAGGAGTGGTCGCGCGGTGAGGAAGCGAGTGCTGGGGCTTGTATCTTGATCTGTCTGTTGTAAAGGGGGAGGCATGTTCTATGTCCGTGTCCGTGTTGGCTGACCAGTCCACCTTCCCGAGCCTCTCAGCTTTGATAGGTCCGATTCATCAACCGGGGCCCCGCGTCGCGTGCACTTCGAGTCGAGGTGGAAGGATGATGGACAGGTACCGGGATGGGGGCTGCCTCACGTGCTTTTGTATCCGAAGGCGATCTCGAGCCCGTTCATAACCGCCTCCCGCAGTGTAAGTTGGGGCGCTCGGGAGCCTGTGTTTTGTTCTCGGATTGACTCGCTGGAGGTTTCTTCTGTATCTGGCTGTGGATGATGCGAGGGTATGATGTTGTGAGCGAGTGACGACGCGTAACCTCTCCTCTTGCCCTCTGTCTTCATGTTCGGTTGCTCACCTGTCCATTCTCCTACAGATGAAGACGTGGGGTATAAGGCGTGTGGGCAAGGTGATGGGGCGTTGAGACGTCGTGTTTCCTTTCATTGTTCTTGTGACTGTGGCTAACCTTTTATAGGGTATGTGCTACTCGTAGATGTGCAGCTCCTTATCAATTCGTTAAGCACTCCTTCAGCTCTGGCAAATTTCGTAACATCTCTTCTTTCTTCCTCGTACCCTACCACGTGCTAACCCATATACACAGCGCATGTATCCAGGGTGTTACCAGTAGAGGTCTGGAGGAGGACGGATTGGAGTAGAATAGATACTGGTACGTGACCCGTGATTGATCTGCCCGCCGCCAGTACTCACCTTCACACAGTATCTCTGGGTTAATGACGTCTGTATTATCCTTTCAGCTTAGCCTCCGCAGAGATCCTCGGAAAGCTACGGTACGTTTGCTATCAGTCTATCTTTCACACACACTCCCAACCGCTAAACCCCCCTGCTTCCAGACTATCACAACATTCCCGCTATACACTTCCCACATCTCACTCTCCTCTCCAGGTACACCTCCGCTAACTAACCACTAACAAGCTACAGCCTTCTACAGATCCCAACCCCGCCCACCCCAGCAAACACGAGTAAGTGGCAGACCCCTCCGTCCCAGCCACGCGACCTCACCTCCCGCGGTCGCCCGCCAGGCCTGCTCTGGGGCGCGGGCCTGGGCGAACGCGGGAGGCGGGGCCCCCGTGTGGGGAGGGCGTTTGTCCTCAAGACCGAGGCGGTTTCTCTGTCGACTCGGGTGAGTTTCGTTGTCTACCTCCTGGACTTTGGAATGTTGTTTACTTACCGTTCTTTGTAGGCGTGCGCGGTTAATGCGAGTGTGAAGCCGAGACGGATGGCAAGGTGAGCAAACAATGATATCTCTTCTTTTCCTCCTCTTCGTGAATGTGGATGCATCACGGAGAGGAACGCGGTCCCGCGTGTGAATGGTTGCTCACGCGTCGAGGCGCGTTCCTCGCCGCGATGAAGTCCGTGCTTACTCTGCTTGACTCACGTTAGAGACTGTATGCAGGGATCGAATTGGGCTTGCAGGTAGGGAACGGGGTGGTGTTTAAGTCCTGAGCGCACTCGAGGTCTACGAGTATCTCGGTCTTCCGCTTCGCGACTTACCCTCTGGCGGGCACTGCTGACACGCCTGCGACTCCCTTCGGTATCGCGAACGTCCCTCCTCCAGAGCTTACTTACCCGGCCGTGGCCACGGGTCCCCCCTGTTCATGTGTCCTGTACGGTTCGGTCTCGACACCTTTCAGGCAGTTCTCCTCAACTGTGAAATCTTTTCTCCGGCCGCCAGCCTTGCGGTCTCTTCAGCGAACCTTCATGGTATCTAGCGTAGATATCATGGCTGGTTCCCCACAACCTTCCTCCAGATCAACACCAGGCTCTCGCCGGACCCACGCTCTCTAGGGGATGGTTGTATGCGCTCTTCTTGTTCGCGATCCATCCCATGACGAGGATCCTACTTTTTCGCGATGCCTGGAGATTCAAGGTACTTATGTTGGACGGTATGCACCAAGTATACCAGGTGGGTCGACGTTGCTCCCGCTCTAGGTCGCCACTGTGTCTTCGTCCTGCCCTGCTAGCAGCTAGGTCGATTTGTCGATGATTGACTTCCCTACTGTTTTCACTGCCATCGCGCGCGCAATGCAAGCCCGACAGTCCTCCCCGCTGTCTGAGGCTCTCTAGGCCACCGACAACTTGAAGGCACTCGGAATTGCTGACCACCTCATCGAATGGTCCACTTCCCCGCGGGCAGACTCATGTCGTCTTTCTTACGAGAACAACGCGCCAGGAACTTGAACACGACGAGATGCCCTCCTTTCTTCGGACATTCATGGCCTGGCAGCCACGAGCTCGAGCTCGAGGATTCTCCTTTCACCCGGCGCCGAAACAATGCAGGGTACCTACGTGGGACCGTACCGTATCCTCGTGGATTTGACCGCTGCATCCTCGGCCGCCCGTCGTCCGTCTTAGCTTCTTCATATCCTACAAACGTTACGCCGACACGTGGACGGATGGCTACCGTCCGCGCCATCGCAAATTCGCAACGCAAGGCCCGATAGGCCTCCTGCCGTGAACGTCTGGTGCAAGCCCGGACGACCGTTCTCTCCTCGACCACTGGCCCTTGGGAAGGCTCGTCTAAACTTGTGCACAAGAACGATACAAAGCTATACTATTATGCGACGCGATATGCTAAAGTTCGTTGCCGAGGCTACAGCGGACGTTACTCATCGTAACTCGTGTCCAAGATACAAAACGCTCCTCCCTCACTTCGGCGTCTACAACAACGCAGCCCCGAGCAGGGGAAGCGCCGCAAGCATCCCAGCAGCCAAGTTCACCTTGACCGAAGCAGCGCCGTTAGAGCCAGAGCCGCCGGTCGAGCTGGGGGAGTGGCCTGACCCGCTCGCGGTGCCCGTGCCGGAGCCGGAAACGGCCTGGAAGGCGGGGAGGGTGGACGTCTGCACGGGCGCGGTGGACGAGGGCGTGGCGGTGGCCGTGCCGTTCTCAACGGTGAAGTATGTCGCCTAAAGAAGAGCGTTAGTGTGAGCTCCCAGCAAGGTTTGGAGGGTGCGTACGGCGTAGAGGGGGCCGAGACCGCTGGACTGTCAACGTGGGTTAGCGTTTGGGCGGAGATAGATGGGAAGGGAGGGCATATACCTGGATGTAGCCGGTGAGGTTGAAGGTCTGCACGCCGGTGCCGGCGTCGCCGGGCTCGTTGAAGCTGTCGGTCTGCTCGAAGAGCATGATCACGTAGCTTCCCATAGGGCTTAGTACTGCGAGCGGGTACGGTAGGATAGCACGCTCACCGATGGGCACCGCTGCCGGGGGGAGGGGCAGGGCCAGCGTATTCGGTGACGTTCGTGCCCGTAGTGGTGTCGAGGGTGTACGGACCGTTGCCTGCGCCGCCTATGTCAGCATCATGTGTAAAACGTCTGGAGAGAAGGCGGCCCACCAGAGAGGCTGGCGCCGTAGACGAGCCAGTGCCTCGTCTGGCCCTGGCTCTCGTCCGTGCCAACGGGTCCCGCGTCGGCCATGATGACGGTGGTGGTCCCGTTGTAGGTGCTGGAGGAGTTGGCAGCGGTGAAGACGATGCTGGGCTGCTCATGGACCTCTGCATATCGTCAAGCAGCCAGAAGTCGACACGAGGACGCATTAGGAGAGCAAAGTCAGCCATAGGACGGCAACAGACTCGCGCGGGCACGTACGGTCTTCAGAGAGAGCTTGGCCGGGCGCAATGGGCCCCACAGCCGGGAAGGTGACGTTCAAGTAGCCGACTGGGTTGAAGCTGGGCAGGAGGGAGGGCACGATGCCGCTCTGCTGGAGGTGCGCCTGGCTCGCCTCGGTTTGCAGGTCGGCGGGGCCGTACTTTTCCTGGGCCGCGACGAGGGCGACGAGGGACAGAGAAAATGCGAGCGTGCGAGAGAACATGGCTGAAGGTCGTGGTCAACGAAGCAAAAGAGGGGGCAGCTGAAGCGAAAGACGGGGGGTTGGAACGAACGAAACGATTGACGGAATAAAGGCTGGAAGCAACCACCCCGACGCGAGGCTTTCTTGCCGGCGGTGGCGCGGAGGTGGCTGTGCCCTTCTTGGCTTCGTCTTGGCAGTCCGTTTTCCTTTTCCGGTGATTTCCAGCCTCGGTATTGTGGCAAACTCAGACTGCGCGGAGGAATGTACAATGTACTACGCACGCATGCCGGTACGGGTCGAGTATACAGAGTGAAGGCTCTCATTATATGGCAATAACGAAGCAAAAATGTCCGTATACAATCATTCAAGTCCGTCACAGCTGCACAAGCCTCGAGCGATTCTCAAGCCAAAGCTGCAACAGCAGGTCCCAGGCGGCAGAAACAGAACCGGAGAGATAGTACGCACCGGACAATAGCTGAAATAACCCGGACATGGGTGACTCCTCAGGACTCAAGGCCTCAGACTCTATCCTTCATCCTTGATCGAAACTTGATCGTTCATTTCAGTTCATGAAGGCCAACCTATGTCAAATGCCCCACAAAGCTGAGTATAGGGGAATATTTGAACTCAAGAAGGTTGTCCGTGTAGTGACGACCTATAAGCACGGCGTCCCAAGAACGCTGGTATAAGAGCCTGCGGGTCTAAGCCGAGAACGGCTGTCATCCCCTACAATATGTCCAGCACATCGCCATTGGCATTGGCTCTGCGATACTCGAGCGTTTCCAGTCAAGGAAACACAGACTGGGAATAAAGAGCACGACGACGTCGGCTTGAACGACATCGTACAGTAACCTCGAGGCTCGGACTTGGGATACGCGTTGTTGACAGTTGTTGTCGCGAACCCGGCAACGGTGGCAACGACGAACAAGAAGATATCCATTCCATCACTCCCTCCTCTGGTCCTCTGCTTGCGTTCGTTGTTTCTGGGCTATGACTCTGGCTTTGTCTTTCTGATTTGTTTATCTTCACGACTCATTCCGCGGACTTCTACTTTGGACTGTCAGCCAACCCCGGAACCTGAAACGGACTGGTCTCGATCTGTCCGCCGCGCCGCTCCTGAGCCTTTCCTCTCTCGCAGTTCTCCCAGATGGACAGCATATTCGGGAGGAAGAAGGGCAGGCCTCGCGGCTCCTCGCTCTCGGGCCAGGACCTCAACGAACGCTCCGTGCCGTATGACAAGCTCGCGCCGCCGCCCCGCTCTCCAGCTCCAGTCGGGACGGGATCGCAGGGACTCAAGGGTCAGGGCCCGTACATATCCGCACCTATCACTAACCCAACTCTCACCGCTACTGGCACGCCCTTGAATATTGCCACCCTGGCCAAGTCGAAGGCGGAGAGAGACCGTGTGTATGCTCAGCCTTATGTCCAGCCGAATCACCCGTATGCCCGATCAGCATCTCCCAGCAACTCGATGTTCAGCACGGACTCGACGACGCTGTACAACAGTTCCGTGCCTTCCGCGTCGTCCTCTGCCACCACCTTGACCTCCGGCTCCGGGAGGCAGACACCGTCATACACGAATGGGCGACACCTGAGGCGCAGCGAGGCGTCCTCGTCTTCGTCATCCCTGGATCACAGGAGCCCTGGGACTCCGGAATTTGCGCAGCATGCCCTGCCATCTACGCCCTCCGCCTCTACGTCCAGCGCTACCATCCGCCCTGCCTCCGGAATGACGACCCGCTCAGACGGGAACCGTGGCTCGCGTTATGCCCCCTCGCTCTCCTCGTTCGACTCGCACGGGCACCTCTCGCATCTGTCGCTCGGCCTGCATCACCACCACAAGGACAAGGACGAGTTCTTCCTCCCTCGGCCGGAAAACGACGAGGAGATCGAGGCGCTGTTCGAGAACGTCGTCGAGGCTCGGGGCGTGAAGATCCCAGATACTATATCCATCGACCAGAAGTGGCAGCTTGTCGTCAACCACGAGCAGGTGCGCCGGAAGGACGAGAAGAAGCGGGAGGAGCAGACGAGGAGGCAGATGGCCACCGGACAGCCTACTCTCATTGAGGAAGGCTCTCCCGAGTTCTATGTCCAGAAGTTCATGGATCACACCATAACTACCAAGCAGATATCGCATCTGCTCGTGTCTCTGCGGAGCGGGGAAGTAGGGTGCGTGTCTCTGATTTCGTTTACATTCAACGTCCCAACCCTACGTGTTTAGGTGGTTTCAACACTTCCTCGACTTGCGCGGTGTATCTGTCCTGGCGCAGACACTGCAACATATCGCCAAGAAAGGCATGAACAGGTTCGCTGTCGTCCGTCGTATACGCTTGGCCTGTTGCTGATACGCAGTGTAGGAGGGAGATTGATACGGAATTGGAATATGAGACGGCAAAATGTCTGAAGCAGATCCTGAACAACAAAGTTTGTGGGGCACATTATTCGTTTCTGGATAGTAACGCTCAGTTCGCTTTACAGCTGGGCACGAAGGAGGCGATTGCCCATTCTGCCACGGTCACCCAACTAGCCTCTAGCATGAATAGCCCCCATCTAGGCACCCGCCGGATTATAGCGGAGACCCTGACTTTTCTCGCGTACTGGAAGCAGGGTTATATCTATAACCACGTTCTCAGCGCTCTAGAGGACTTGAGTAAGAATAATGGTGAACCGCCGTCTCCTTATGCATACTGGTTCAAGACCTGGGAAAGGACGTTACAGGGCCGGGGTAAGATGGGTACTCTCGTCGGTGCAAGTGAAGAGGTCAAGAAGACCGGCGCTCTCGACGGCGGTCTGAACGAGTATGTGGTGCGTAAGCCTTTTTTTCCCTGGTTGCCCCACGGTTCCTAAAGTGCCTGTCAGCTCGCCAATCTCATGCTCGTCAACTCCTTCCTCGAAGATGTCGAAGACACCGACGTCCGCCTGCACCAGCGCTCGCAAATGGAAGCTGCTGGTCTGCAGCGGATCCTAGCGCTGTGTCGGGAACTGAACGTGATTTCACTTGACCAGCAGATGCAGAAGCTCCAAGAGATGATCCAGGAGGACGAGGCGCTCTTGCGCGAACGTCTGGATGAGCAGACCCTGCAGAACCTGAGCAGCATCGACGATGTGTACAACGCGGTCTTGAAGAAGACAGAAGACTCGGAGGCGCGGACTTATCTGCTTTCTATGCTTCAGCATTTCCTGCTGATCCATGCGGAAGGCCCGACGATGACTCACTACTACCAGATGCTGGATACCCTCGTCAAGGACGTTGTCATGGATGCCAAGCTCGGAGGTGCTGAACACAGGTTTGGCTATTCGGTCGACAGGATAATTGCGCAGTTCAACAACGCCGACCAAGCGAAAGCCTTCGAAGAGGAGGCAAATGCTTACCGGTCACAAGTCTTGCAGCTGCAGCTCGAGAAGCAAGCCTTGGAAGCCGAGGTTGCCCAGGGAGGCGAGGGTCTCGTGGGTCAGCTGAAGGCAAGGACTGAGCAGTTGGAGCAGAGGCTCCAGGGGGCGCGGGAGACAATCCAGCGATTGCAGGGACAGTTGGACACTCAGAAGGCCGGGTATGAAGAGCAGATCGCCCAGCTGGAAGCACAGATTATGGAGCTATTTAGGATGCTCAGAGAGGTGGGCAACGGTGTGGAGAAGATCTTGGACAACAGCAGCGGGGTGGACAGAAAGACGCTCATGGATAACCTTGACAGGCACTTCGAGCGGAATAGGACCATCAGCATCCTGGAAGGTCGCGAGAAGAGGAAGCGGAGAAAGAATAGGGACGGAGTTGAGGGTGAGGAGGATGACTCGGACCTTACGGACGAGGCCCAGGGAGATGGCAGCCCTACAAAGGCGGGTAATATCAGGAGGAGGCCTCATTCGAGTAAGCGTCGATCTAAGGCGCCTAAGATGACACGGATGTCAGAGGCTCAAGGAGGCCGAACGTCGCAGTTCATGGATGCCGACGAGGAGATGGTGCAGGAACAGATCCAGCAGCAATTAGCTGCTGGCGTGAAGCTAGTATGTGTTTCGTCCTTGCCTCCCTTGACTGAGACTGAAGACTTTCTTAGTATCCTCCTCGGGACGGCGTCTTGTCCAGTCCGCGGAGCATAAGAGGATCGCCAAGACGTAAGTTACCACCCACTCCGGGTCCAAGTAATTCTACGAGGCATGGTGATCTGCTATTGCCACCTACGGATGATCAAGCCGAACAGAGTGACGGCTCGGTAGTGCCAGAGGATCAGGACGCGGAGAGCGACTACGGACGACAGTCAAGTCGAAGTGGATATACGAATCTCACAGAAGAAACCCACCCCACATCTGTCAGTTCGACCACCTCAGTCGATAGCTCGCGGATCTCAGCGCCTCCTGGTTCTTTGGCAGAGCAACTCCGGAAGCAGTTGGCAGCTCGTGGTCGTCCGCCGTCCTCTGATGGTAGCCCACAACATTCTCCCACTCTTCCTCCTCTCCCTGAAGAGGGTGAGGGAGTTTCTGCCATGGCCCCTCCTCCCCCCCCTCCGCCGCCTCCTCCTCCTCCACCACCCTCTATGGGCTCAGTGTCAGCGCCGCCGCCGCCGCCACCACCACCACCACCTCCTCCTCCACCACCACCACCCGGCGCCTTCTCCATACCGACCGTTGGTTCCGCGATACCTCCCCCGCCTCCCCCTCCTCCGCCAGGCAAGGGATTCACACCTCCGTCCTCTGCCCCTGGTTCAACGCGTGCATCAATGTTGTTGGGTTCAAATCTGAATATGCTCCTCTCCGCCCGTAAGGATATGCCCATAACGCCCAGCAAGAAGCTCAAGCAATTGCAATGGGATAAGCTGCCTCAGCAGCAAGCCACGCATACCGTCTTCAATGACGGAGAACCCGACAAGGAGAAAGAGTGGATTCAGAGGCTTCGCATCGACGGCATCTGGAATGAGATTGAGGAGGACTTCAAAGCCAAGCAGTTGGTGATGAACCTGATGGGTAGGTATCATCTACCATGGCTCTCATACCACTACTGAAGTCATCCAGCCAAGCAGAAACGTGCCGAGCTCAAGAGTGTCCTTGATCCACAAACCAAGAAGCGAGTCGGTAAGCACCACTTGTGTCTTATCTACGCATGTCGGCTCAACAGCTGCGTAGAAATCCTTATACAGCGTGTCAGGCAGCTGGAGCCCGAGGAGATTGCTCGCAGGATTCAACAGTTTAATCAAGAGCTTTGCACCGAGGTATTCTTGAGTGAATTGAAACCTGTGCTTCCAACCCCAGAGCAGGTCTGTTCTCCCATTACCTCCTGTGGCGTAATTTTGACTGGACTATACTCCACTCTAGGTCGGTAAGCTGAACGTCTACCGGAATGCGGATGCAGAGGAGCTCGCAGGACTACATCCATCTGACCGGCTCATGGTGAAGTTGATACAAATTGATCGGCTTGCACCCCGGGTAGAAGGGATGCTCTATAAGGTCCGATTCCAAGAGCATTGGACATTATTGGATGACTCCACTCGGAAACTCAGTGAAGCGGGAGATGCTCTTTTCCATGCACAACACTTCAAGGATTTACTAAGTGTGCGTGCTACATGCTATTCTATGTGGCCACTGGTCTCATCAGACAACCTGTGCTTTCAGTTGATCCTGTTCATCGGTAACTATATGAATAGTACCGGTGTCAAGGGAGGAGCGTTTGGTTTCCGAGTTAGTAGCATAAACAAGGCAAGTCCCAGTTCGCAGAGGTTTTCTCCGCTAACTGACATCGCAACCATTAGCTGGTAGACACGAAGTCTGTCAATAATACGACTTTACTTCACTTCTTAGAGCGGACTGTGGCAAACCACATGCCGGACATGGAAGCCTTCTTAGATGAGTTGGCCAAACCTGCGGAAGCTTATCGAGGTTTGAACCCAGTGTCCTTGAGGTGTTGACCATGATGTTCTGATCGTTTCCTCCATGACAGTAAACCTCCAGGACGTGCGGAAAGGCTTGTCGGAACTGCGTACCGGTCTAGAACGTATCCGCCAAGAGCTCGCAGACCACTTTTCAGACCCTGACCGAATCGACGAATACGCTAGGCAAATGTGGGGTTTTGTCGGCAAAGCAAGCAGTCTGCTTGAAGATCTCACGGATGACGTGAACGCAGCCGACACGACATTCACGGAGGTAATCAGATATTATGGAGAGGATGAGAAGAGCATGACCTCCTCGGAGTTCTACGGCATCTTCAAGACTTTCGTGACTTCTTACAAGGTATGTGTGCCCTTTCGCACCTAGTGGATTGCTCTGACATGTCCTTCAGAAATGCAAATCGGAGAACCAGTCCGTGGCAGAGGAGAGAGCTGCTAGGGAGAAACGAATACAAGCTCAAGAAGCAGCCCGACTGCGGAAAGAGCAAGCTCTCGAAGCCAGCAGCGCCCAAGAGGTCGAAGATACAGCTGTACTCGATACTTTGCTGGAGAAGTTGAGAAACGGCGATCATGTAGGAAGACGGGCGCGCCGTGCTCGTCGTCCTGCGAATAACTCTGCAAATCGACCTCCTCCTGCACCGCTGGAGCTGAATCTCGACGGCGGCCTGAATTTCAGTTCCAACGATGGCGCCGACGCCGCGGCCATCGCCGCGAACATGTTGGCCTCCTTGAAGTCGGACGGTTTCGCTCCTATATCACCGTCGCCTTCCGCAACCTCGATGCCTCGGCGGACCCGCCGAAGACTTCGTACACGATCTGGAAATGATTCATCAGAAGATATAGGAAGCCCGCGGTCCCCTGAACTATCCGAGTGGACACATGAGATCAATGGTGTTGATGAATTGGAAGAAGAGCCATCCGCGCAAGAAGGTGCATACACGGGCTCCGCTCCGGACGAACATGAACACCAGGGGAACCCAGATAGTGGGAGCCCGCCAACGAGTGCTTCTGCCGAGGAGACCAGGACCACGCCTGATGAGGACGAACAATGATCCAAACCACTCATTAGTTGTTTATTGCTTATTCTGTCCCATTACTCTCGATACCCTTAACTGTATTCCCCTTTCCTACGCCACGTAAAAATCTCCCCCTTGCTCCATCATAACTGTTGCGCCAACGACCGATTCAGATTAGAACAATAGAGTTCCCTTGCCTGCGCGCCCAGCCCCCGCCCCCTCCCATGGACTAGGATGCCATGTAAGTATTCCATGTCCTGCCAGTAATCCTCGGCCACGGTCGTGTACCGGTCGCACGCGTACGCATGGGCTTGGAGGGAAGTATATTATATACGCTTGGAAACCCCTGATAAATGTGCAAGGACGGGTTCACATATCAGATTTGTTATCTACACAGTTAATGCAGCGGGCAAATTCCCCGGAGAAATGCATACAGCTGGTCTTACAGGAAAGCAAGCCAGTGGAAAGGTAGTATAGGGACGCAACAGTTAAACGAGGTCTCTTCTCGCCGAAGTCCTGTCCCTCGCCCAGCCCATTAGAGAAATGATCGAAACGCCGGCGAAGCAGGTCCCGACATATACGATTAGCTTCTGCCACTTCACTTGGTGGAGGGTTGCTCCCTGCTCTCCGTTACTCCGGTAGGCTGTCGTCGAAGATATGCTGGTACTCAGGAGCGCTGTGGAGATAGGCGTACAAAGGATATTTCCTAGTCCTCGTGTCATCATGAAGAGGCCATATAATGACATACTAAGTGAAGGATCGCCCTCTGGAAATGGAGGAGTTATGCTAGGTAATGCTCGCACACTTCCATTACTCACTGGATATCCTATGGGCAAACTGTCCCCACAAAGTGCTCCAGCTGCCGGCAACCAAGCCGTAAGTGGCGCCGAATAACATCAACCCGACAGTATTGCGCATCGCTCCCCAGAAGACAAAAGTGCATAAGCAAGAGAGGGCAGAGCCAATCAAAGCGATTGGCCACGGCGATAAGCGGTCTGACAGCAGCCCGACAAGCATTGGGCCCAGGGCCGAAGATCCTGCGATAGTCGGGGTGAGTGGTTGTGGATCACGGTATATCTGACACAAGACCGTTACCATTGAGAAGGGCCAACGCTGCAGAAGAAAGCGCAGTTCTGAGTTGCAAAGTAGATGCAAAAGCTACCGCAGCCGAATAAAGCTTAAGTGAGTACGGCCAGTAATGTGCACTCCAGGCGTCACATACTTGGAAGCCATACAAGGGGTATAAAGAACGCAAAGCCTTGCAGAGTGTTGGCCACTAGAATGGCCCAGAAAGTACGATCTCCCAGTATCGGGGATATACTGGTCCTAGGTGCGGGCCCTGGTATCCGGCTCTCAGGCAGTCTGGGCTTGATGAAGGGATGACAAGCTAGAAGCAGGAGAAGAGACGCAACGGAAATTATCCGCAACGTTACGAATATACCATACGCCTTCAGCAGAGCTGGCAGAATAAATGGTAGCGCAAGACCCCCCGCGGATGTACCTATAGACATACAATGTCAATATTCAGTGGGGGAGTCGCCATGCACGGGGAAAGGATAGCACCTGCGAAGAGTACGCCGTTAGCTAGTCCCCGGCGTCGAACAAACCACTCTGACATATACGATATGCATGGGTGATAAGCGAGAGCTACAACAAAAAGGAATGAGCCAAGTCACGCGAGATGCGGTGCTTGTGATAAGCAGTACCTCCCCCAATAGCATACAGAACCCCTTGTAGCATCACCAGCTCCCAGACCTAAAGGTCATGAAGTCTGAGTGCTTCCCTTCTTCTAAACCTACAATAGCAGCACCAACCTTCCGCACATAGCTAGATGCGAATAAACTGGCACAGCACAGCAGTATACCAGCCCACCTCAAGGGACGTCGATGCCTAGGGTACTGACACATATAGGGATATATGATAGCTCCTAGAAGCATTGAGCTTAGATTAAATACTTCGTGCTGGCGGCGTGGGCATGGAAGTACCTGAACAGAACATGAGTCCCGACGAGCAAGTGCCCACGAGAGGCAGCAGAGTCGTGGCATGGGGTTGCGTCGTTGTAGCAGGATCTTGCAGATATGTATCCAATAGTATACCGTACGACCAAGGGACGCTCCATATCACCGCGTCTAACAAGGCTGCGGCCCCAAGCTAACGAAGTATGATCGGTGTTATTGCGTGCCACATGAGGAAAGGAGCCACGGTGGGATAGACGAACAAACGTCCAAGCAGCGTATCCAGTATCCACGGGGGATAGAGCCACCTCTGTAGGTGAGGTGCTCGCAGACGTCCCCTCGGAAAATATGGCTTCGCGTAGACCACCTTCAGCGCCGTTGACGCGAACACCTTGATAGAAATCAACAAATGAGTAATCCAGTGCCATAGCAATCATGAGTGGTACAAACCTGCTGCACAGTCCTTAGCCGCTGTATCAACGCTTGGTGAATGAGAAGTTTCCACCAGTTCGACATTTGAAGACTGGGCCATGGTTGAAATGCACCGCTCGCGATCCTTGATACTGAATTTCGCCTGGGATTGGATATATAGCTGCAACTTGCTGTGGGAGATTGAGAACACATGGCGTCAATGGTTACTCGTATATGACCTAAGGAGCTCAAGATCAGGAGTGATCGCACGCTTCACTGCTCTATAGATCATACTTCAACCACGCAAGCGTCGTACGTAAAAGCTAGTCAGTTACGAGCGCACTGAAGATCTGACTCGGACGAGAGTCGAGGTTGGACCTAAAGGTCTAAGCTCGACCCTTTGACCAAGGAATATTACGACAAATCAAGAATGAAGTGCAAGCAGCGCTAAGACTGTCCACGTTCACTGATCTGACGCCTGACTAGCTGAGCTGGCCCGGGTCGCGCCATACCTTATGCCAGAAAGGCTGGCAGTCACGGAAATGCTGGGATGCTTACCAGCTTCAGGCTGCTGCGAGACTAACAGATAAGACTTCCCTCGACGCAGTCGCACAGAGTGATAAGTCCATAGGATAGAAAATGTATGGTGCAGACAATAACAATATGCTAGATGATCTTGACTTGACGAATCCTGAGCCAAGAACAGCCGGAAGAGAACCCATGAATTCAACTCCCGTATCGCTCCCGAGCCTGAAAGTCAGCAGAACATCAGTCATGCGGGCATACTTTGACGAGATGATATTAGGAAGGACGTACCGCATCTTTAGCAGCATTCACATAGCCTGCATACCCTTCAGTTAGATGTGTAATATCCTTGCCTTTGCTGGCCCCAAGTCCGACACCTTGCTCATACAGCGCAGTTTGTCTACGCGGAAGCAAGACGTTAAAATCAGGCTCTCTTACCGAAATCAATTGGACAGGAACACTCACATAGGCTCGACTCGACCCTCTCCATCAGCGCCCAACCCAGACCCTTCCGTCCATCCCATCATCTTGAGCAAGCGATTTCCTACGTTATTCTCGTCCTGACCCGGATTCAGCACCTGTGCTGGTGGAGTGACTGCCTTCGGTGGCGGAGGGCCTTCCGCATATCTAGCCTTTTTGACGTGCGGATTAGCCATATTCTCCGGCAGTGGCGCCTCAGGCTGGTTGTAAATGATCCTCCGTTCTGCAGCACGATCGCGGTATTTCGGCTCTGACGAGGTGGAGGCCGAGCCAGACGCCGCCTGCCTAAGTGCCGCCGCTTTCCCTCGAGCGACCTCTCGCAGAGAAGCGTCCTTATAATTTTTCTAGAACAACCGTCAATCGGGACCCTTAGCTATGGTCTGGGAAACGATTACCTTGTGCAGGTCAGACTCCTTATTATGCCTCTTGAGCTGGTCTAGATGCTTGAATTGGCGTGCACACAACAGGCAAGCGATCTTCGTCGTGTCGGCAAATTCGAAATCTCCATCCGGGGGGCCTGGAGTAGCGGACTTTGCTCTCACAGCTGTGGCAACGGGGGCAGGTTCAACATTGGGTACTACGGTTGCAGTCTACGGAAGGAATAAACAAGGCTGGCTCGCATAGGGGGGGCCTAGACACGCACCGAGCTGGACGCCACAGGTGTCGACGTGCTCAGTTCTTCTTGCACTTGATTCCATTTGCTGATATTGTTTGCTGTCTAAAGCGTACGTACCGCTGGTCAAGGCTGGAAACCACGGCCCTAAGTACACGGATACATACCTTCTTACTTGCAATCATAGGAGCAACCTTTTTGGTAGCAGTCACTACACATCACCAGCGTTAACGCGTATATCCAACTAATATCGCGTCGCATCTCGATATTAGAAACAAACCCTTGAGATCTTGGTTGGCCGCAGTCTCCGCTGCCTCTCCTTCGTCGTCGTCTGCCGCTTCCGTCATTGAGAAGCCAAGAGCAAGAGGTGCAGGTGTTTTCACTGTGTGAAATAAGACGTCAAGCATGATATTCTGCATGAGGTTCAAAAGTATCGTCTTGAACGTACCTGCTGTGCTCGAAGAGCCTTTGTTCAACGATAACCCGGCTTTGTTAAAGCTCAGAGTCACGGGTTTGTCGGAAACAGGGAGGACCGACGCCTCGGCAAGCACATTATTCTTAGAGGCGCCTGCAGCATCGGCTTACAGGCGTGTCAACTTCGCGCACTTAGTGGAATATTTTAGCCCCACCGACCTTTGGTTTTCTTCTTCTCCTTTTTCTTCTCCGTCGGTGCAGCAGGTTTGGGTGGCTCTTCGACCTTGAAATCCAAGACAGCCACGGTCGATGCTTCGTCCCAGTACCTCACCCAGCCGCCTTCCGATCCTCCAAGGACATTCGTCGAGGGAATCGCCGCCTCGTCGCGTCGCATAGGATCAACAGGCTGGAATGAGTCTGGGTGGGCGAAAGAAGCAGCGACGGCCTTGTCGGATATTCGAAAGCCGTTCGGATGTAGCTGTGAAGACATGGTAGCCGCAAGCACAGCTGATGCGCACTAGTTGGAGGTATGAAGCATCTGGAAAGCGTAACATACGCTGAGCACCTACCTGCACGTTAACGAATTCGACGAAAGCAAAGCCCCAGCTGGCCATTGTCACACGATCTTTGATCAAGATGATTCGCTTCATCCCTTTGGCGCCCTCTTTACCGATTCCAGATGAAGTCTTCATTGCGATTGATATAGCCTGCGGTCCTGACAAAGGATCTAATCCTCGAAACAACAGGACGGGAAACTGGCTGTTGCCGATATCGCGAGTTCCATCATTCGATTGAATGGGGCCACGACGTCCCTTCTCCGCAGGGTTAGCGCTCTGAGAATAGTCAATCTTGACTCGTCGCCCCGTATGTGGTGCTCCTGTCTGGACCGCCTTGTAGAAAGCCGCCGTGGCTGAAGCCCCGTGAGATGCCGGTGGAGGCACTTGAATGAAAGGGAATGACGGGCCGACGAAGGCACGGGCATGTTCCACAGTCGCGAACTGGGCAAAACCAAAGCCCTTGGATGCACCTTTGAAAATCGAACGCCGAAAGAAATCGTCAATGCACGCGCGGAAGCAAGTATACGAATGGGCAAGTGCCTGTTGATCTTTCTCGAATGATGGTGACCGACTCGACCGCGAAGCCCTGATTTGCTAGATACGCTTGAAGCTACAAGGGAGGGGCCACTCAGTCATGGTTGCGTCACGGAAAGAAGATGAAGTCGACAGACATCCGCCTCGGTGAAATCTGGATCGAGTCCGAGGAAAATGACATGAGGACTTGCTTCACTAGGCATAAGGCGCTTCCTTGCGTGGCCCTTCTGCGAGCGGTCGTCGTAGTACTCCTCGGGCTGCCCCCAGGCGTTATCAGAGACCCCTTCATCATATGATCGAGACGAATTGCCATGACCCTGGTGAAGGAACGGGTTAGCACTGTCCTCCTGTAGAGAGACAAAAGTCTCGTACGCCGTCATTGAACTTCCGTCGCTTTCCCTCGCCATAGTAGTCGTCTTCTCGTCCTCTGATATTTCCTCTGCCGCCCGCTTCATTCCAAGATCCTGTATCACCCCACTGGTCTTTACCTCTGTCCCATTCACGATTATAGGCCATGATCGACAATACAGTATGAGGACGTGGAACTTGAAGAGCACTCAACCAGGGGTATATCCTAAGAGGAGCCAAACAAGGTCCAACAACTTGTGCCACAGATGGCATGTCATTGTCACGGTACGAACCTGAGCCTTCCAGAATCATTATTCCTCCCTCAGCAGGCTTGCTTAGACTCTTTGGACATGGCGGGCGGTCACGGTGAGTGTACTATCTTACAGCTTAGTTCCTTCATATTGAGGATTCGTCGTAGAAATGGTCAAGGTGGGTCGGACACCGTGACATCGCAGCTGCTTGCTCAAGTATGGCTGAACAGCATGACCCTGCTATCGAAAAATGGAATTCTATGGTACGGAATGCCGCCGTATTGCTCACTCTAAGTGTCTGAGCTGTTTGTTCTAGCGCGAGAACGCATATAAACATTTCCGTTTCACCCCCCGGAACACGTTCATTGCACTCGTCGGCGTTGTGATAGTGCCGGGTGCAGTCCTATACCTTGCCTCCCAGACGGACGTGAGCCCGCACCGTTCTCGGCATATATTCTGTGTACTTACCTCCCGCCTGGCTTGCAGAATAAGTGGAATTTCAACGGAAAGCGGAAGGGCGAATCGTTACGAATCCAACCCTCGCAACAAGCATCGTCATAACTTCGGTATACGCCATAATATTATACAGTCTACTAGAATCGCTTGCACAGTTCTATAGCAACCTTGCATCCGGCCCCGACTACCGTACTCAGCAGGGCATGCGCCGGTGCCCTTTGCGAATGGTTTTCGACGGCCGTATCGAGATGTTCGAGTTCATCGTCCCGGAATTCTCGGATGACATCCTTCAGTAATGGGATACTCGGATGTGACGTCGAAAGCCCTTCCATCTCCCGCAATTGGCTGATTTATGACGGTCATTGAGACGAAAGCCATGCAGTATAAACGTAGCGTACTCATCGTAATGTTCACCGATAACGGTCTCGACAGCCTCCGTGCATGCCATCGCAGCCTCCTTGCCCATTAAGGCGGTCACCGCACCCAAGCCAAAACCAGCTACCTTTGCAACCTCCCACAGGACAGTCGGACGGACCTGATGCTGAACCTGCATCTGATTCATCACTGCTATGTGTTTCTTCTCCTGATCCCACATATCCTGCGCGCAGCTAGTCATATATCAGTCCAACGAAAGGCGGTGATAAGGCGCACTTGGATGATAGGACCAGTATTAGGATCTCGTCCAAGTACTGCCATCTGACCGCGATATATCCAGTTAGCCGCTACTTCCCCAGCTTGGTCAACTCGCAGTGCACTATCCAGAACATGCCGCTCGCTCGGAGGAAGATCCTCGGGAGTCGAAACGATAGCTATATCATGACGTTTCGTGGGGTCCTATACTGTG